TTTAACATTTAAAAAACAGCAAGAATGAAATGATAAGCGCTGTAAGCGTCAAAGTGAATGCAATCTTAATTATCTTGTTTAATAACATCTGTAGTAATTAATCTAACCAATCAAAGCTATTCCTCTGAAAAATAAAATGACTGATTGGTCAGTTTCATAGCTATATACAGATGTTATTAAACCCGATTAAGAATGACGTGTAAAATGTATAAGTTTTTAATGCATAAAAGAAATCAAGTTTCATAATTGGTCAAAACACAATTTCTTCTATGGACGCGTTTAGTAAACAAAGTAGATCAATGAGCGTTTAGCGTTTAGTGATTCTTTAATATGTTTGCTTTTTGCTGGATCTGAGTGAATGAACCAATAGCCACGTTCAGCAGACAGTCCTGATCAGTGAGCGCTCAGTGATTTTTTGTTACGATTGGTTTATTCACTTAGATCCAGCGAATCACTATAAGCGCTCAGTGATCTGCTTTGTTTGCTGAACGTGGCTAATACCGTAACAGGCGAATCATTGAGCGCTCACTGATCTGTCTGCTAAACGCGCCCTACGTTGAACTTAACGTTTGCGAGCATCATTTGTCCTTGTTTAACTTTTAGCGAACAAGAATGAAATAATTCCATGTTTTATTAAATAAAACAAATAAAATGTACGATTATATATTAAAATAAATTGCCAATTAAATTGCATACACTAAGAAATCTATTTTGCATTTAAAAAGCATTTAAAATATTTATTTACCCATTTACATTTAAAATAAATTCGAAAAACCCATTTTACATTTTGCATTTTAAATACCTTTTTTAAGGTATTCTATGTTTGGCATTTTAAATATAATTCGAAAAGCATTTTACCCAGCCCTGATTATAATTTATTAATAAATGTTTAATATAATAAAAACAAATTTTATTAAATGTTAGTTTTATTAATTAGATATTTAATAAAAGTATTTTTGCATTGTTCTGCATTTTGTAGGTAGTTTTAGACTTTCTTCATAAATTTTTTAGTTTTTACATTATTATGAAGTACATCTTATTTTATAAATATCCACATAGGTCACTGTTGATCCACGCGGCATAGACAATAAATTACGTAATTAAATTTGCACAGACAAAATACGTAAAATTGGCATGAAATATGTTAATACAAAAATGCTTTAATCTTTTATAATTAATCTATTCTTCAAATAAATGGCGATGATAAAAAGTAACAAGTATATGCTATTACGTAAGCATAATAAGAAAATAAAGAGATTAACATTCTTTAGAAATAAAATTATATTTGTTTTAGTTTTTAATTTGATATTGTAACGTTATTTTAGTTTTATATTTTCTTTCTATTCATAGCAGGCAGTATTATATATAACACTATCATTACGTATAGTCAAGTACTTAATATTTTCACAGAAAAACAACTTATTTTTAGATATTTCAATACTAATTTTAAAGTTACAACGCTTCGATGTATATATCGATGTAAAAATATAAATATGCTACTTTATGTGTCTTGCTGTATCAATTTAAATTAATGCAACTTTGCACAATTTGGCAAATTTTATTGTCATTTAACCATATCTATGTCATAGCACACTTGAGATTCATATAGAAAAAGTGTGTGTATCATCTTGTAGTAACGCAGAATGTAAAATATTAATTTATTTGCAAACGGAATAAAGCAACAGAATGTTTAATTATATCAGTTGATTACTTAGCTTAAGAAAAGGGAGGAAATTAGAGAAACCTAAGAAAAAGAGCGGTGCAAGAGAAAAAGTATGAGAAAAATGGAAAATGTAAGAGAGAAGGAAGAAATAGGAGAAAAAGGGGGAAAAAGAAGGAAAATAAGGAGAATAAAGTGAGAAACGAAAAAAATGAATAAGTAAATAAATAATAGAGAGCAAAAAAAGGAAAGAAAAAGTAAGAAAAAATAAATTAAGAAAAAAGCCGGAAACAAGAGGAAAGAAAGGGAAAAAG